TACCTTCGGCCAGTGAGCTCCCGTGCGGCTTCCGATCAGGGAGGGGAACGTCGACGAAGGAGTAAAGTCGAACAGCCACAGAAGGAGTCGGAGAAGGAGCGAAGTCGACCGGCCACGCAGGAACAGAAGAAGCGATCGGAAGGGAGAAGGTTGCCTCCACAGCAAGCGAGCACCCGTTGCAGCTTCCGATCAAAAATGGCGTAACTTCCGATCCTTGTATGTAGGGAGAAGTCGTCGAAGGGGGCGACGTCAAACAGCAACGAAGGACCGAGGAAGCATACGAAAGGTAGAGAGTTGTCTTCACAGCCGCCGAGCTCCTGTTCTCGCCTCCGCTCAAAATGTCGTGACTTCCGATTCGTACAGGAAGGGGGTGTCGTCAGAGAGCAAAGTCGAGCAGCCAGGAAGGATCGAGCGAGCTCCCGAGTTGTTTCCGATCAAACGTTGTAACTTCTGATCCGGCTGGGAGGAGAAAGAGCGAGAGAGGGATCGGGAGATGAGAGTCGATGCGAGAGAGAGGGAGTGAGGCAGCGAAAGCTTTGCTCTCTCATTTCCTTCAGTATTTAATGACTCGAATGAGTCGTGCGAGCCTTATGCGAAGGTCGTGGGAAGAACAGCGACGACGTGGGAGGAGGTCGTGCGATGTGGTTCGGCAGAGGGTAGGTGAGATTTTGATTTTTTTTTGATTTTTTTTTTCTTGGATACGGGTCAACAGACATTAATGCTTAAGTATCGGTATTTGCAAAAAGGAAATAGTTAGGAATTTTCGTAGCAAAATGTCATTGGCTACATTCATATACTGCATTCAATTATATTAGTGATTGGGTTGCCATTATAGCGATTAGTAGCCTTTTAAGTTTAAATGGGGTTAGTTATTGTATCATCGTTTGCCAAAACACCACAATCTAGTTTATCAAGTTGTGCCAACATACTCACTGTAAAGTTGGAGAATTTCCTTTGAAGTCGTAGCTTGCGCTCTGAGGATATTCCGCCGTATAAGTCCATAACAAATATGCCACCCTTCTTTGACAAGAAACTCAATGCATGTTTAAAGTACTTGACTAAGTCTTCCCGTTGATGCAGAAAGCAGCAACTATAATTGAATGCACATACAACATCTCTTGAAGGCAGCGAAGTTTCCTCCATGGTAGAGCACACCCGAACTCTAGGATTGGCATCGGTAATTGATTGGGGAGTTCCGATAGAATCCTTTGGGTTGCTTAGATCTATAACACCTATAAGATCTTGAACTTTAGGCTTCACCATATGAGCCTTGTGGGGATGCAGAACATTCCCATGGAATAGAGAGATCCTGGAGTGTCCATCATATCCAAACTTACTAATATTGTTATCCAAGCACCAATAAAGTGCCTCAAGATCCAAATCCAACCCAACAGCTGTTCTTCTTGGGTCGTTATGCAGCCACTCAGAACTGCCAAATATATAGGCAATAGATGCATAATTTTATCTTTAAAATACATTACTAGAAAAGAATTCTATGCAAACTAAAGCTTAGAAAGGAGAGGTAAAGGCTATGCGGTAAGGGGAGATTATGTCCAGTCATCGTGATTAAATTATAAAAGAAAATGATGCTACTTAAAAACTTATGAGTTCTATGTCTACAACAATGCAAATACTTTGATTGCCAACAGCAATCTAAATACACTTTATACGTAAGATGCATTTGCAAAGGATCCACCTATCATTCAATTTAAAAGTACAGCCACAAAAAACAAGAATGAGGAATTGACGAGTAAGATCAGACTGTTCAACATAAATGTGCATAAACATTGTGGGAGAGTAATAGCAATAAACTCAAATAAATTAAGTATTAAACTGTTCAACAGGAATATGAATGAACACCAAATATAAGTTAGAATACCAGTTTTTGCGAGCCAAGACATTCAAAAGCCTAACAGGTATAGTTGAGGCATTTTATTACCATTTATACTACCTTGAATCAATAAACATGGAAATTGAGATAGTTCAAAGAATGATGACACTGAACTTCCTTGAAAGAGGGAAAATTTTAAGACTAAGCATGATTATAAATTACATTAAGAGCTTAAGCATGTTTTAAAAAAAATTTAAAAATAGGCAAAGTCGCCCGTTAAATGGGCGACTTATGCTTTGACTACAATAGTCAAGATCCGACGTGGTGATGATGTGGCGAGATCGAAGATCGTTTAACGGGCGATTTATAAGTCGCCCGTTTATAAGTCGCCCGTTTAACGGGCGACTTATAAGTCGCCCGTTGAACGGACGACTTTTGGCTAATACTTTAATACCCAAAATCCTTCCCGATCTC